AGGGGATGTACCTGATGTGCATCTACCACTCAAGTGTCTGTGGAGACCTGTGTGTTGCTATACAGGTTTCTGGAAGCTCTGGTGGCTTTGTGGTAAGGTTTTGTATCCCTAACCCAAAGGCATGTGGTTCAAATCCACCAGTTGCACTAGGGGAGAAAGATGGGTAATCTCCTACGAATAACTACCAGGATTAACTCAATGAATGGTCAACCATGAGTTGGTCTGACTCAATGGTAAACAACAATATCATTTTCAGTGGAGCTTCCAAATTGAGATGGATTAGGCAGAGAAGCTAGTGATTTGCTTTTGGAAATCAGCCATTGAAAACCAAGAGCATCAGAGAGGTCTGACCCGAATCTGATTGCGGGGATGGTGCAGGATGGGGCTGTGGGGCATGAGGTCCCCATGTTTTGGGGGCTGACTTAACAGGAGCTCCTCACAGCATCATGTGGAGCCACATGTTAAGTCATGTATTGACATAGTGATTGTTTTCATTCCTCCAATGATGTTTCCAAAGCACAGGGATATTAAGTAACTTGATGAGGAACACACAACTGTGAACAGAGAGAACAATGAATCTGCCCAGCTCTAGTTCATGGTCCATTGATGTACACATGCCACCTTCTTTCTTTATAAAAAGGGCGGAGGAGTATATGACTGTCTAGTCCTCTAACTGCTGACTTAAAAAGTGATGAATGTAAGTTTAGTCCTCTAACTGCTGACTTAAAAAGTGATGAATGTAAGTTTAATGTGGACGCAGAGGGGTGAGTGGAGGCTGGAGTTCCCCAAGAGCAAAGCTCAAGTACGAGAAGGCACTGAATTGTCAATGATTCATTAACAGAAATCAAAACAAACGCTCTGGTAAGTGAGACTTCTGAAGCTCAGTCTGTAGTAACGTAAAGGGAATTTTTAACTATGGAAAGCCCCAAATCATAATCAGATTGGAACATTTCCAATCTTTATGGTCATTTTCCATTCCCTCTCAAAGTGCGGCCCTGGGCCCTCTCCCCCAGGTTATCTGAGGAGCTGGATAAATGCAGATTTCCCAGACCCACCTGGACCGACCCAGCTGGGACCTCAGGGGGTGATGGAGGGGCCTGAGCCTGCATTTCACAGGTCTGCCCTCCCTCTCTGAGTGATTCTTATGTCCATACTTTCTGGTTCAGAGAAATATTCCACTATCTTCTTCTGTAATAGCTTTTAAAAACTATAGAGCCAACTGCTTGGGAACTTGGAACTCTGGAGTGTTCAGCACTTTACAAAGGGGAAATTAGAAGAGAAAATGAGTAAAGGGCTATTCTGCAGATCAGTAAGACTGCTATAGTGAGAATTCAGAGCACCACCTGACCCCCTCAGTGTACTGCGATCACGCCTAGGGGACCTGGGCTTCAGGCACTGGTATGGTTCTCATCTGCTGGGAGGATCCTGAGTCAGAAAGCTGGCAGAAGTTTCTGGAGCAGCTGCAATCCTGCAGAAAGAGCAAATCCACCTCAGACCTCAACTGCAGACAGCTTCCTCCCCAGCTCTGGTGGTATCTTCCCAAGGCCTTGGCACATGCTTTGTAAGCTCTGTAATAAGGCAGAAATCCTTCTCAGAAACTGACTTCTGAAATAGGATTCAATGGCAATGGGTTATCACTGCTGATAGCTGCTGCTGCTGCTGCTGCCTCCCACTCACAGTGACCCCGAGAAAAATCAATTCAACTTGGCTTCATCCTAAACTCTCCTCACAACTTTTGTTGGGCTGAAGCCCATTGTTGGAATCACTCTATCAGTTATTCTTATTGAGGGTCTTCTCTTTTGCCAACCTTTCATGTATCATGTACTCTTCTGAAGACTGGCATACCCCGTCTTGTCTCTGCCCCTGACAGCATGCCTAAGGTAATTTAGGAGGCATGGCCTCATAAATTTTGCTTCTAAGCAGCATTTTGGCTGTACTTCTTTGTTTAAACAGGACCCAACACAGATTTGTTTGTTCTTTTGGCAGTTCACGGTATATTCAATGCCCTTCACCAACACCGCAATTAAAAGGCATAAATTCTTCCTTATTTGTTGTCCAGCTTCCACAAGCAATATGGAATAACCAAAAATACCATGGTTTGGGGCAGACACACATCAGTCTTTAAACTGACACCCTTGCTCATTAGAATATTATAGAGGTCCCTGACAGCATCATGTGTAACCAATGCAATATGCCATTTGATTTCTTCATTGCTGCTTCCACGGGTGTTGATTGTGAATTCAAGCAAAATGAAATCGCGGACAACTTTAATATTTTTTTTTCTATCACAATGTGGTCTATGATTGTAGCGGTGAGGATTTTTGTTTTATGGCTTAGAGGACTTTGTAAACACAAAACATACTGCCGATTTTAAAATTAAAAACAAAAATAAAACAAAAACTCTATTGCATTTGAGTACCCAAGGTTCACCCCCTCACCGTCGAGAGCATCATAAATCCCAGGGAAAGCAGTCCCAAAGCCGCTCACTCTAGCCAGATAGAAAGCCAAGGAGAAAATCTACAGAGAAGTTATGGCAAATCAAATGAGAAGGAACCTGGAGTCTCGGACTTTTCAGACTTGGAACTGAAAAGGTTGAGTCTCAAAAGGAAAACATGTCACCCTTCTGCCAAAATCAACTGTGATGAAAACTCGGAGCCCACACCTTTCAGCCAAGCATTTCCTGCCCAGGCCTCACTCGTCTGCTCCCACCAGCTCAGATGAGGGAGAGCTATTTTTAAGGTGCAAACAACTAGGACAAAGGATGAGAGAAGTTATTTATAGTTGCAATTTTCAACTGTTCTTTTCCCCTCCGGAGGTAAAGGCTGGACTTAGCTTTCCTTCTGAGCTTCACATCACTTGGCTAAGAAAGGCTTTGAAAGGTGGAGGATAGCCAGTCTGTCTCCTCCAGACAGCATGAGTCAGAAAGCTCCCCAATACTTCTTCAGGGCTTCCTCCTAATACACACATATTTGGATCCACATTTGAAAAACATACCTTTTGTATTACAGGTGATTTGAAAATGCACTGACGGTTTTAGTATATAAAATAATTCAACAATAAATTGTATCTGTTTTGGTTTTTGTTTGTTTTAATTAACCTTCACAGAATATTTGCAATCATTCGAATATTAGTTGTTGTTGTTGTTGTTAGGTGCCGTTGAGTTGGAACCAACTCATAGCTGATTCTCCAGTGGGTTTTCAGAGACTGGAAATCATATGGAAGATTTTCATCTTCCTCCCATTGAACTGTTGGTGAGTTCAAACGTCATGCCTTTGGGTTGACAGTACAATTCCTTTCCACTAAGCCAGCAAATCTCATGCAAGTAGATACTTCCTAGTTTACAGGTTAAGTGCATATCAGAGCTGTGGCCTTTTTGCCTACCTATTCAATTTATATGCTGAGCAAATAATTTGAGAAGCTGTACTATATGAAGGATGTGGCATCAGCATTGGAGAAAGACTCATCAACATCCTCCATTATGCAGATGACACAATCATGCTCACAAAAAGTGAAGAAGACTTGAAGTACTTACTGAAGAAGATCAAAGACTATATAGCAAAAATAAAATATTACATCTCAACCTCAAAACCCAAAAATCCTTATCATTGGACCAATAGGCAACATCATGTTAGACTGAGAAAAGATTGAAGTGGTCAGTGATTTCATTTTAGGTGAATCTACAATCAGCACTCATAGTAGCAACAGTCAAGAAATCAAAAAACTATTGCACTGGGAAAATCTGCTGTCAAGGACCTCTCCAAAGTGCAAAAGAGCAACAGTGTCAATTTAAAGGCCAAAATTGCCTGATCCAAGCTATACACTTTTGATTGCTTCTGTGTATCTGAAAGTCTGTTGGAGGTGGGTTGGGGAGGGATGTAACCAAGGTGCTCCTTAAAGGCAAGGATGATGATACTCTGTCTCATACTTTGGGCTTGATTTCAGGAGGTGCGAGTTCTTGGAAAAAGATATGCTGAGAAACATGGAAGTTCAGAAAAAGAAAGGAAGGCCCTCAGCAAGATGGCAGTCCATCTGAATGAATGAAACAATGGGCTTGTCTGTGGGAGACTGTGAGAATGGCACAGGATAGGGCAAGGTTCAGAAAGTTGCTCACAGGGTCACCATTGCTTATAGTTGACTCAATGGCACATAGAAACAATCAAGTAAATTCAGCCTTTGTATTCGATTTTCTTGAGGAAGAACACAACCATATGGAGTGTTCTGGGAATCAGCAAGCTTTTTCTAGTCTATCACTCTTATCTTTCCTCTTGTAACTCAGGGAAAATTCCGTCACAGGTTAAACCAGTCTACTCTTGGAGTCCATGGGTGGTGCTATAGTCCACTGGGCTATCACTGAAAGGTTGGTAATTCTGCCCTCCTTATGGGCTCTTTCTATGCTCACTAATACCTGCTTTTAATGGTGTCAGTATTTCATCTGGTGTCTCTGTAAGCACATTGGTGGGCAACACCCATTTCTAGATTCGTGTTTCCTCTACCTCTGGTGGGCTCCTTGTCAAGCCAGTCAACAGGGTCATAATTTCAGCTTTGGCAAAAGAGGGCCCATGCCACATCACTGTACTTGCACAAAATGTGGTACCTTTTACCATTCAAAAGAAAGAAAGAAAGAAAGAAAAGACTAGAAACTCTAGAAGCTACATGTCGAATCAAATCTATTAGAAAGATGGGAAGAAACAGTTTAATGAATCAGAATGGCACAGGAACTCAGATGTTTGTGAGCTCAAAATGGGATCAACTGTGCTTGAGTAGGAGTTCAAGAAAGTTTGTTGACTGAATGAATGGGGAAATGACACACATGCTAGGGTACTAAATATATTTACTTTTTGGCAGTTTCAATGTAATTCACATTAACAAAGCAAAGAACAAGAACCACATGATCCTTTCAATTGATGCACAAAAAATTATTTTTAGAACACGTCCACTGCTCTAAGAACAATGGAAAAAATAAATATGTAGAACAAAACTTCAGTTAGTCGCCTACTCACCTTTTTACTTAAGTGGGGACCATTCGTCCCCCCAATACTCCTCTGTACTGATGGCGGCACTTGATACACATCTTGTTCCTGAGCAGCATGGGCAGTGGGGACTTGGTAAATTCCCTGGTTTTGATAGGAAGGTGGCACTTGGTAGATGGTGTCCCGAGGAGCACCCTGTGCAGTTGGTACTTGATAGAGCTTCTGTTGGCTAAAGGTCTGGTGCATCAGTCCAGAAGGAGGCTGCTCCTGAGTGGCAGGGATCTCTTGCACAGGGCCAATTAGAAGCTTCACACGGTTGCCTGGGACAATGCCTTGGCGCCCGTGTAAGGAGCAAAGCCACCATCCCTCCAGTCCCCCTGTGTTCTGCTCAATCACAGTCAGGATGTCTCCCTTGCGGAAGGCCAGCTCCTCAGCACACTCTGGGACATTGTCGTATAAGGCCCTCGCCATCAGATTCTAGGAAAGAAAGAACAGGGAAATTGTGTTAGAATATCATCTCAGTCCTGTCCATACCTTAAGCTTATTCTCCGGTGGAAACACTTCCTGGAAAGAAGAGCCAAAGAAATCTGAACAATAGCCTGTAAGGGGGAAAACAGATGGTGTAGACAAAAGACAGACACATACACATTCATCTACCCCTATGATTGTCTCCTTGGGAAAAAAGTTCAAAACACAAGAAGAGTTCTTTACTCTCACAGTCGATGCTGTATCAGCACTGTTCAAAAATCAGAGGACAACTTATACATAGAAATAGTTTTCTTTCTGTCCTATTAGCCAACTGAGGAGAAGAAAGAAATATATTTCAAGATATTCAGATGCACTCATAACAGACACTTCTAATTTTTTATACTGGAGGTAAAAGGAATCAAGGAAGATGCCAAGAAACCACTAGGACAAATGGCATTTGTATTCAGGGTTGGCATGCAGACCTTGCAGGGAAGGGGCTGAGTTTGAAAAATGTTCCCAGTTGATCATGAGATCCATGGATAGAAGGAAATGCACAAGCAAGCACCTTGCCCATAAAATCAAGTATGGGACATAGGATGACAGTGGTCTTCGTATCCAGATTCCAGTGCAGGAGTTTACAAAGTATTTACAATAAAGAGGCAGGTGTCAACTCTTCTTGTTTTGGTCTTTTACTCATAACTTTTCTGGAGCCCATCCTTACCCTGCCACTTTATCACCTACTTTTTGAATCTCACCATTCACATCTGAAAGGCAGTGCCTTCCCCTTTCATGGGCCCTAAACACTCTCCCTCTTTGTGTGAAGGGCTGTCTGGCACATTCAGTACTGAGCAGGCAGCCAAAGTAGGCATTCAGCAGAGAGTGGGCAGGCAGTACGTGCTGACATTCTTGGAAACCTTTCAAAGGTTCTGACGATTTCATTTCTTGGCGTTCATAATGTTTCCCGGCACACTGGCAGCCATGACCACGGGCCTGCCTCCTACCCAGCACGGAGAAGTTGGAGGAGGTTGTAAATCCACTGCACATTCTTGAAGAACTCAAAGTGACCTCTCCAGGGCTCCCCTAAAATGTTTGCATGCACTTAGTGTCATGGCGGTAGAGATCAACTCTATGGGAGAGAGGATTGTCCATGGTTAATCACGAATGTAACTCTCTTTTGCATTGATATACTCAATGGAATTTGGGGCTGTTATTTGAGCAGATGTACCTTGTTTTCTATAAAAATGTAGACTTGCTCTTTCAGACTTGTGTTTTTCATTCTTCATAATTGGAATACATTAATCTTTTCCCCTACACAATGTCACTTAGTCAAAGGCCTTGCATTGTGAGATGACTTCCTGCGATGAAGTGGCTAAGTTATATATGGGATTCTCCCTCTGGTTAATAGTTAGGAAGGGTCCAACTTCTCCTACTGGTAGCCAAGTTCTTTTGAGTCAATGTAACTACTGACCCAAGGACAATAGAGGTCATTGTCTTGGGAGATTGGTGATGCTGTTCAAGACCAAGTGGACAGTTCTTGCTCTTGACAACTCTGAATCCAGGAGATCTGTGACACAGAAAGGTCACAGTAAGGGCTAAAGGAAAACAAAGTGGTTTGTGGCTGACATAAAGGTTTTGGCTAGCATTTACACTCCAGGAAAACTTTGAATTCTTTCCATAAAGTTCTCCTATATAAAGATAAAATCATGCATCATTATATCCTAGTTTGTGGTCATCATTAAAGATGTATGACAGTTCTAAAACCTCCTTGTTTCCCTGGGGCGGGGTTTTTTCAGGGGGGGTTGTTTCTGTCCTATGTAATTTAAAAGATAATTTCTGGAGTTTTAGAAGACAAGTTTCTTGTCCTTTGTACCTAAATGAGGGCACGTTATTACTCCATCAAAGTGGTAGTGTGATTGTGGAGCAGTAGATGCTAACAACTTGGGTCTCTTTCCCTTTCTCCTGGTCCATGCAGCCATCGGGGATGACTAGTAAGGAAGACCCTGGATGAGTTGAGGGGCTGGTTCTCAGCAGAAGGTTGATAGTTATGCAATTGTGTTTACAAATGGAGAACAACAGAGCACAGGCCTACTCAGCATACATCAGCTGGAGGAACTGGGAGTTGAGTCACTTTCATGTTCCATCAGGCAGCACTGAAATAGAGCACCGGGCCAGGCTTGATGGGAGTCAGATAGAAATGCCCACGCAAGAGTCTTTCAAGATGTCCTTTTGTCTCCCGTCCCACTAACCTTCCCACCACCTGGTAAGCAGCATGCTAATGTTTCTAGATCTCAAGAGCTGCTTTTCAAGGGAGACATTCAGACCCCATTGTCTGTGTTAATGGAGGCACCAGTGGGGGAGTTTTCCTAATTGGTTGCCCATTATTTCTCAGCAGTTTTCTGATTACCCACAGAGACTGGTATTTAGAAAGAGAGGTTGGCATGGCTGCTAATGACAGGGTCCCCAGCACCAGCCTAACACTTGTTCACATACTGACAAATTTTCTCAGACTTAGCTGAACAGAAGTACGAGTGTATGAGTTATTCAACATCTGTGTTATAAACACAGATTATTAGCTATAGAGAGGTAATGCCCATATCCAGTTACTCTTCCAAACAGATGGGTACAGCTCAGGAGGCCTTAGGAAATTGTCTGCCCAATGCCTTCATTTTAAAGGTGAGGAAATGGGTCTGGGTCTGAGAGACCTGTGATGTGTCCTATCCCCATACCTTTTCAATCAATATGCAGAACAGACAATCTGGGAGGCTGGGCTGTATGAGGAGAAATGTGGGGTCAGGATTAGAGGAAGATTCATCAACAATCTGTGTTATGCAGATGACACAACCCTGCTTGCTGAAACAAAGAACCTGAAGCGCTTGCTGCAGAAGGTCAAGGATTGAAGTCTTCAATACAGATTGAGGCCCAATGTCAAGAAAACAAAGATTCTCACCACTGGACCAATTGGCAGCATCAGGATGGATGGTGAAGAGATTGAGACTGTTAACAGCTTTAGTTTGCTTGGCTCCACAGTCAACACTCTTGGCACCAGCGCCAGGAAACTAAAAGATGTATTGCGATGGGAAAGTCTGCTGTTAGAGACTTCTCCAAAGTATTGAAGAGCAATGATGTCACTCTGGAAACTAAGGTGTGCATGATATAGTACATGGTCTTTGTGATCACTTGCTGTGCATCAGAGAGCTGGACAGTGAATAGGGTTGATAGAAGGAGAATTGATGCCTTTGAGCTGTGCTGTTGGAGAAGAGTATTGAATATACAATGGACTGCTAAGAAAACAAACAAGTTCGTCCCAGAGAAGGTGAAGCCAGGAGGCAAGGATTCTGAAGCTTTGCCTGATATATTTTGAACATGTTTCAAGGACGGACCAATCCTTGGAGAAGGACATGCTTGGGAGGGTGGAGGGACAGCACAGGAGAGGAAGTCTATGAGGTGGATTGATTCAGTGACTGGGGTAGTTGGGGTAGGTGTATCGGAGACAGTGAGATTGGCACAGGATATAGTAGGGTTTAGGGCTGTACAGGCAACTTGACAGCACACAGCAACAACAACAACAACAACAACAAAATATTGTTGGTGGCAGAGATGGCCTGGAACTGGAGTCTCTTGGTTCTCTGAATTATTGTTCTAGAACATTAAACAATTACAGTGCACAGTTTCCTTAACTGGGCTCAGTTCTATCACACAAAAGTTCTAAAGAGGACCAGTTCTTCTTACACCTATGGAATGAATTCTTTAGGGGTTGTGTCCTAGCTGGCTACGTCTCTCTATGCTTTTAGCCCCCTCAGCTGTGTAAAATAAGAATAAGGAGAATAGTGCCTGAGACTTCCTAGATTTCTTGTGAGGGTTAGTTAATTCAAACAGTATTTTAACACTGCCTGTGTTGTGTGTATGTGTACTCTAGTGTCAGAACTGACCCATAGCTGACCATCCAGCAGGTTTTCAGAGGTAGTTAATCACATGGGAGGAGATTGCCCATTCTTCTCCTGTGGAACAGCTGGTGGCCTCGAACCATATGCCTTTGCGATTGCAGCATGGCTTTTTGCCAATAGGTTATCAGTGCTCTCTGAGCCTTCATAAATTGTTATGGTTACCTTATCATTTTCTAGATGCCATTTTGACTCCAAACTCCCTACACACTTCATCTTCTCTAATTCAAGAATTGATCCCACCAGAGGTACATGGTTCAAATCCACCAGATGTTCTGCTAGAGAAGGAGGGGCAATATCCTCCTGTACCAGTCAGATCTGATTTGACAGTGCACGCACGCCAACACACGCACACATACACACATAAAAATATAAAAAAAGAATTGATCCTAGCTTATTTATAGTAAGCACACACACATCCATCCCTAGTTATTATCAAGTCAAGTTTGACTTAGAGGAAGTCCTGTGTGTCTTAGAGTAGAACTGTGCTCTATCCGGTTTTTAATGGAAGTCACCAGGCCTTTTATCTCTATACCATGACTGCATATATTTGAGCCTTCAATTTTTCAGAGAGCAGCCAAATACAATCGGATATTTCTCTTCCTCACAATGACATTTTAGAAGGACTATATATTTCAAAGCCCTATTTAAAACAAAGAGTCTAGTCACTGCAACCATTTGTCAACCATTTGTATATGCCTATGAACAGCAAGAATAAAGTTATTATTTGATTTCAAAAGTCCTTCTGGGACAGAGTAATACTAATGATATATTACTGGACAAGTCATGGATAAATGCAACTAGAATCCAGCAGAGAGAAATAGGTCAGAAAGTAGGGAAAGATGTGGTGACAAACTTTGGTTTCTGAATAGACTTGACTTTATGTTGAGTAAGATTTTAATACGAAGATGAAACAACCAGATTAGGTCCCGTTAGAACGTGAACTGTTTTACTAGAAGTGTGTGTACAACACACATGTAAGCAAACCGGCTGCCACTGAGCCAGTTCCAATTCAAAGTAACCAATCATCCATTGGGTTCTAGAGGTGTAAATCTTGATGTG